GGGCAAGGACAGAAAGCACCTACACAGAATCCAAAGAACCACCGGGGGATTGGGTATGGTGGAATACCCCCGCCATCTGGCACAATCAATATGATCTCTGGTGGTATGCACTCAGGGGGCCAGAGTGCCCGAGCCCGCAAGGCATATACCCGCCAGGTGATGACGGTCAACAAAAATAGGCCCTTGAAGCGGCCGTTCGAGGAGGCAAAGTGGGAGAATGCAACTATCACATTCAGCCCAGCAGATTATAGGCGAGCAGACGGGGAGCCCGACGTTATGATGCCTCACGCAGATCCATTTGTGGCAGCGGTTCATATAGGTAATCACAACGTCAACAAGGTCTTTATTGATACGGGTAGCTCGCCAGATATCCTTTACTGGAGCTGCTTCCAGAAGATGCAGTTGAACCCGAGCTCGCTGCAGAAATATGAAGGACTCATTTACGGGTTTGATAATCAGCCCGTCCCGGTGGAAGGGGTCATAACTCTACCCATCTATGTGGGCTCAGAACCACGCTTCAGGATGGCTTCGGTCAGCTTCTTGGTCGTCAAAATGGAGTCAGCATTCAACGCCATATTAGAAAGGGCTACTCTGTGCGAGCTGAAGGCCGTTATTTCACAGCCCCATCTCTGCATGAAATTCCCAACGCCTCAGGGGGTAGGGGTGCTAAAGAGGAATCATAGGATGGCCAGGGCATGTTATCAGGATACGTTTAAGAAGGTTGAGCTGGCTATAGCTCCTAGAGGCTCTGAAAGTAGTAGGCCGACTCAGCCCGGCCAGCAGACAATGAGCATATCGGACATTGAGCATAAACCTGAGGGTGTCGAGCAGAAAGCAGAGCCGGTAGAACCAGTAGAAACCGTTCCTTTAAACTCCGATGTGCCGGAAAGAACAGTCAAGATCGGCACCAAGCTCACAGAAGAAGAACGAGTAGAGCTTCTGGAGTTTCTGAGGGTCAATCAAGATGTGTTCGCATGGACTACTGATGAAATGCTTGGCATCCCGGTGGAGTTGATAGTCCACAAACTCAGCACAGATCCCACCAGAAGGCCGGTGGTGCAGAAACGTCCCCTTTTTGGCCTAGAGAAACAAGCTGCCATAGACGAGGAGATACAAAAGCTGCTACAGGCAGACTTCATTAGGAGAGTGGAGTACTCCAAGTGGGTATCTAACCCCGTTCTCGTCAAAAAGCCAAATGGCAAGTGGAGGATGTGCATTGATTTCACCAACCTCAATGAGGCGTGCCCAAAAGACCCTCATCCCTTGCCCAATGTTGAGAAGTTAGTAGAACGGGCAGCAGGACACGAACGAATGAGTTTCCTTGACGCCAGCTCAGGTTATCATCAGGTTCAGTTGCTATTTGACGATCAGGAGAAAACAGCTTTCTACGCTGGTGACGCTATCTATTGCTATGTGATGATGCCATTTGGCCTGAAAAATGCTGGCGCTACATATCAGAAGCTGGTACAAATCATCTTTAAGCTCCAGATCGGTAGAAACATAGAAGTGTATGTGGATGACATGATAGTCACCAGCGTGCGAGCTGAGGACCATATAGATGACCTGAGTGAGACCTTTCAAAATTTGCGCCGAGCCCAAATGAAGCTGAACCCCCTGAAGTGCACGTTCGCTGTAGAATCAGGAAAATTCCTAGGGTACGTGGTATCCAAGAAAGGAATTGAAGTGAACCCAGAGAAGGTTCTGGCTGTTCAGTAGATGGAGCCACCTAAGACTGTAAAGGATGTGCAACGCTTGACAGGTCGTATAGCCGCTTTGCACAGATTCATAGCCAGGTCGGCGGAAAGGTGCCTACCGTTTTTCAAAGCCTTACGATAGCCCAAGCACTTTCAATGGACCGACGAGTGTTAATAGGCGTTTGACGAGCTCAAGCAGTATCTGGCATCTGCACCCCTACTGTCTAAGCCTGTGGAAGGGGAGAGTTTATACCTATACATGGGGGTTACAAGAGAGGCAGTGAGCTCAGTTTTGCTCAGGGAAGAGAATAAGAATCAGAAGCCTATCTGCTACGTGAGCAAGGTTTTACAAGGTGCAGAGCAGAACTACCCATTAGCAGAAAAGGCTGCATTTGCCCTGGTTTACACAGCTCGTAAGTTGAGGGCTTATTTCCAATCACATCAGATTGTTGTCTATACCGATTTGCCATTGAGAAAAGTACTGCAGAAACCTGAACTCTCTGGTCGGCTTATTGGGTGGAGCGTCGAGCTGAGTGAATATGACCTCAAATTTCAGCCGCGTACAGCCATAAAGGGCCAGGCCGTTGCAGACTTTCTGGTGGAATGCATTTCAGCTACTAAGGAAGAAAAAGCACCTGAGCACCCAATCTGGGTTTTTGTATGTTGATGGAGCCGCTAGCATTGAAGGATCGGGTGCTGGGGCTGTGTTAGTGGGCCCAGATGGCTTTAAGTCTGAGCACGCACTAAGGTTTAAGTTTCAGACAACTAATAACGCTGCAGAATACAAAACCCTCATTTACAGACTAAAGTTGGCGTCCGAGCTGAAGGTACAAAGCATTCAAGTTTTTAGTGACTCTCAGCTCGTCGTGGGCCAAGTGAATGGCAGTTGTGAAGTCAGGGATCCCCAGCTCGATCGTTATGCCTCTATGGTCAGTAGATTGAAGTCAATGTTTGTCTCTTTTCAAATTGATAAAATACCAAGAGCAGATAACCACCAAGCCGACGAGTTGTCCAAATTGGCCTCCTCGCAGGACCTTAACCCTCAGAGGTCGACAATCGTCGAGGTGCTTGACGCCCCAAGCTACACCGATCTCGCAGCCGAGTGCCAACTGCTGAGTACAGACCCCTCTACACAGAGCTGGACCACCCCGCTCATAAATTATTTACAAAGTGGCGAGCTACCTGAAGATCAGTCCGTTGCAAAGCTGGTCAGACACAGGGCGGCACATTTCACTTTGATAGATAATCAGCTCTACAAGCGGGCAGCCTCTATGCCCCTATTACGCTGTCTCACTCCTTATGAAGCAGAATATGCTGTGAGAGAAATTCATGAAGGAGTATGTGGCACACACATTGGAGGCAAAATCTTGTGCATAAACCACTAAGCCTTGTAGTAAAGATGAACAATTAGAGCAAAGCATCAAACAAGAACAAGCAAGAAGTTGTGGGGTTAAGTTGATAGACCTATGTTCATGAGCAGAGGCAACAATAAATCTTCTGAAGTTTACTAAAATAATCTAATATATAATGTTTTCTACAGTATCTCATAAATAAAAACTCAATTAACAAATTAGCAAACAAACTTTCAAAATAAGTCAAATTACTGTCTAATTGTGTATGCTATGATAAAATAGCAAATGCGAGTTGCACTCAGGTAACTTTCTCACAAATTAGGTACTCTTGTGTCACTTTGATATTTAATTATGAGAGATTAATTTTTTGTGCATATGATGTGATGCAGCCGCATCCTTTAATGCGAAGAACTGCCAAATAAAGCTAGTACTTCTCTACAACTCATGAGGTAATTGAAGCTTGCTAAGCGGAAAATTTACACATGCATCAGTTATAAAGAAATTTGTGGATAGAAATATAGTCTAGGCTACTACCAGTTTCAGTTTGTGTAACACCCCAAAATTTTGTGCTATTTTAGCATTTAAGTAAGGGTTTTTGTGTGAGAAAGTATTGTTTTGGGCTTAATAGCCAAAAGTTTGAAAGTTGAGGGACTTAAAGAGGGAAGAGTTTTGGATAAGGATGAGTTTCTTTTCTTTTTCTTTTTCTTTCTTTCTTTTCTTCCCAGCCTTGCCCGATTCTGCTCTTCTTCTTCTTTCTTCCCGCTGCAGCCACCCGAAGGAAAAAAAAAGGGGGAACCCAGCCATGCTTGAGAAACTAGTGAGATAAGCTTGGTTTTCTCCTTCCTTTCTTGCTCTAGAACACACCTAGAACCCAGAAATCTCTCCCCCTTTGCTGGAAAAGCCGGATCTGCCCTGCTCTGCTTTGTCCTTCCGCCGGCTGCTCTTGATTGTGGGTGATTTCTGGGCATATTTTTCGGTAAGAACAGCCCCTAATTCCTTTGTTCTTGCTTGAATTGGCTTGGGTTAACTTTGATTGCTCTTGTTCCTCCAATTTTCGGGAAACCCATGAGTTCCCTGCAGATTTGCCGCCGGCCTCTTTTCCCCCTGCAGCTCCGGTTTTAGCTGGATTTTCTGGTATGTTGACAGCCCCTCCAAGCCCCGAATTTGTCCATTTATTTGCTGATTTGTGTGTCCGAAAATCTGCTGGAAATAGGGGAGAAAATTGATAGTAATTAGATGAGATTTAAGCATTAATTCAAGTGGGATTTATGTGATTGAGTGTTAATTGATTGCTGTGATTTTTGGAGGAAAATCCTGTGGAATTAGCTAGTGTTTTGGCCAATTTGTGAAAGTTGGAATTACTGTTCATGTCGGGGTTACTGTTCACCGGCACTGTTCACATATTACTGTTCACACCCCGAAGGCCAACAATTAACGGGGATTTAAATGATTAGTTTGTGATATGAGAATGATCTTGGAGATATTTGATCATGTGGAGATTGATAGAAATAGCATTGTGATTAGGAATGATCCTAATGATGATTTCAGTTTGAATGTGTGATAGTTCGATATTAATTTTGAGGTGTTTTGATTAGGTTCCCGATCATTCTGTCAGTTAGCATTGAGATTGAATGCTCGGTTTTATGCAAGTGAGGTAAGTAAATTATGGTAATGCCCGTACTGTTTTAAAAGCATGTTTTGATTTGTTTTTGAAGTGGTGGCAGGACTAAACCCGTTTTACACAAGTATGACTGATTTGAAGTGAAATGTTTTATGCTTTTCACTAAATTGAGCATGCCT